TTAAAAAAAATAAAAAAATGATGGAAATGTCAAAAAAATAAAAGAAAATAAGTTTCCCATGTGATATATGGTCTAGTTGTTGGGAAAATTTGCAAATGTGAATTTTGACTTTATTTGCAAAATCTCTCTGAAATTTGTAAAAATGGGCATAACTTTTGCATACTAACTCGGATGAAAAAGTTTTTATATGAAAAATCATCTACTCGAAAAGTTACATCCGATGGAGACCGCCTACGGCCTGTTTGCAAATTTGTAGAATTCTCAAATTCCAAAAGGAAAAAAAGTTATGCTCAAATTTTAGTTTTTTTTTAATTTTCATTAAATCTGGTCAAACTATGGTCAAACTACTTATTCAAGAAGTATTAGTGTTACTAAATATTATTCAAGAATATTAGTGTTATTAAATAATTATTTCAGTTTTTTTGAATTTTGGTCAAATCTGGTCAAACTATGGTCAAACTGTGGTCAAACAATGGTCAAACTACTTATTCAAGAAATATTAGTGTTACTAAATAATTATTGTTTTTTAAAACAATAGTTTCAAAATAAAACTATGAAATGTGTCACTTCATGCTCAAGCAAAATTCCTGAAGGTTAATAGGATTGACATCTTAGTATTGTCAGGAAAACAACAAGTGCAGACTTGGAGCGAGGGAGAATAGAATCCGGAAGTTAAGCGTGCTCAGGCTGAGGGAGTGGGAGGATGGGTGACCGTTCGGGAAGTTAGATGATTTGGAATGATAAGGGGTGATTAGAGGATAAATTGAGAATTGATGAGGGGTGGTGATTACAGACTAGAGGTTAAAATAATTCAGAAATTTGAAAATAAAAAAATTCAAAAAAATCAAAAAAAATCATAAAATTTCCTTTAGTCCCGGTTGGTACACCAACCGGGACTAAAGGTGGAGCTCCACGTGGTCGTGCCCTTCAGTCCCGGTTCTGGATTGAACCGGGACTAAAGGGAGAGGCGAAGGCCCTTTTTCTACTAGTGCTCCCTCACCCTGTGCATTTCAAAACCGAACCGAAAAACCATACCAAAAATAAACCGAATCGATTTTGTGGTTTTTATGGTTTCTGGTTTCGGTATGGTATGAACTTTTCATGCCGATTTAAACTTTGGTTTTTATGGTATATATCAAAAACCGAACGGTTAACCGAATAAACCGAAGTAAAAATAAATTTATATTTCTTGAGATGAACAACCATACAAGTTGTCATTTTTCTTGTACATGAGTCAAATTCACTAATAAGCATGTAAAATTTTCTTGTAACATAGTCATTTTTCTCTTTTTAAAATGCTAAGCACGTCCATAACCATCAACAGATGAATTAATGCATGCATATGTACTTATATATATAGTCATATACTATTTGTGTAAAATAGTATGTGTTTTGAGTCATAAATTTGCAAATTATTATTATGTCATTTTTAAATTCGCGTCAACTTTGGTTTTTATGGTATATACCGAAACCATACCGAAATAATTTGGTATATACCAAAACCGAACCATATTTTAATTTCATATCATATTTACTGAAGTATTAATACCGTACAAACCAAAAAAACGTATAAACCAAACCATATAAACCGAATAAACCGAACGCACAGGGTGAGCCCTCCCCCCTCGTTTTATAGCTATCTCGACCGCCTCTCCCTCCTCCGCAAGCGAGGTGGTACTAAAGGAAACGAAACGAAACCAAAGAGCGGGAAACCTGCTGCCTTGGGCGACCAGCCAAGCAGCCTATGCGTTTGCCTCTCGTTCGTTTGGGCTTCAACAGGCCCGACAAGAACACCACGGCCCAGTACTATGGCTTCCGGTTTATCCCTGTTCGTTCCGCTCGCTGTCTCTGACATGTGGGGACGAGCCGAGCTTGAAGGACGACGTTGGCGACTACAGCACTGCGTGAGTCTGGGACGAGATACGAGAAATTTCAAGGGATGGGAAACCGTATGAATGTCAGAGAGAGCTGTAGAGATCAATCATCAAGCCATGTAAAGTGCATGGAGAACGTACCATTGACGTAGCTCGGCATTATCTCTGATAAACTGTGATGGCTACTGGTACAATTACCATGTTTGGGTTATTTTTCTCTGAAAGCAATACACAGCACCAGGACAAAATACAGGAAGCTGGGAATAGTAAATTATGTTCAAAGTAGGTTGCAATCTCTAGGAGAGCATGTGTGTTGTTCAACCAAAAGCGACTTTCGGTAGAAAGCGGAAACTTCACTAGGTTCAGTTAAATAAAGAAAAAATAATCTTCAATGTACATTTTATTCTTAGTAGTATCTCACAGTTCTAAATACTTCAGTTGGTAGTATATGACAAGAATGAAGTACCAAAGGTGATCGGATACATATAAAAGCATCGAAATCAGCTTGACTTGTTGGTTTTATCGGTTGCTGCAGCCATCTTCTGAAGATCATCTGGAGTTTTGGACAAATGTCAGGGCAGTGTGAATCCAAAATATAGCAGAGTCCATTTCCCCAAGAATTCCTCTTCGGTGATGAGTTTCCCATCTTCTGACGATCATCTGGAGTTCTGGACAAGTGATATGTTTTTGTCACAGATTACTGAGCAAATATCTGTTGGATCATGCATGCAAAAAGAAAAGGGTGATGTGATGTTATTGTTATCAGAGATGGCGGTAGGTTCCTGACGTATTACAGTGAACAGAAATCTTATTCGTTCAGTTTGTACCTGGCCTTTGACAATTCAGTTATTGTTTCAGATATTTCAAAAACGCTCGGGGGTATTATTGCTGTCCTGGATTTCCAAAGTGAAAGTGAGCACATTAATTGGGGGATCAATTCCGAGGCAATCAACAGTTCTTGTCGTCAGAGTGTAGCATATATTCTGTATTTATTAGTCATATGAATGGTCAAAGTTTGGCTCAAAATACCAGGGGGCTTAATAAATCCGGACAGAGGTAGTAAAAACCCACTCTAGTTGATTAAAGTGCCTTCCAGTATCAGCGCTGGGAGTGCTTTAAATCTATTGTCATTTCTCTGACTGCTTGCGGCAGTCTTTTCCTGTTTAAAGTGATATATATTCTTCCTTTATTTTGTAGTTGCAGTAAGTAGGGTTATGCAGATACTAGCTAGTATGGTATGTGATGTTCAGCATCCTCGGATTACGGCTTCGTTGTTTTCCAGGAAGAAGCTTTCCAGTGGTTGTATAGTAGAGTCTGTTTCACCAAGAAATCAAATCCTTTTCGGTCGTGAGTTTCAGTTATGGCTCGGAAGCTTGAATGGCCCACCAGTGGCTGAAGTGGATGCTGATGGTTCTTGCTTCAGAATACTTACTTGCTCTGTTCTCCGACTCTAGAAAAGACTGGTCAGGGAAAAGGATGTACTACATGAGAAATTTTCATAACAGGCATAAGCAGACAGACAAGGAGATGGTAGCATCCTTTTATGCGGA